AATGCTTCATAAGGGTGCCATGCCAATGCTAGATTGAAAACTGTTGTTGTATGCGAATTCCACCAATGGTCAACCTCCCCCTCTAACAAGTATGTAGTCAAGCCAACCCGTAAGTCCCCCGGCTACTCCCATGCCATCACACATTTTCTTTATCCGACGGATCCACTTATTGGCATCCAATGGGTTAGAGCTTCCTTGAAAAGTAGGTGGGTGTTGCCGTGAAAATTGTCGAAGAACTACCATCCTTCGATTCTCGTTCCCATTGCCCGGTACTTGAGCTAGTGGATGGACCCCACCATTGTGGTTGTTGTTTCTATTCTGGTGTTATACCAGAGTGGNAACTGTCGAAGAACTACCATCCTTCGATTCTCGTTCCCATTGCCCGGTACTTGAGCTAGTGGATGGACCCCACCATTGTGGTTGTTGTTTCTATTCTAGTGTTATACCAGAGTGATTAGTTCCCGTAGACATTGATATATGCCGTTCATAGCATCGGGAGGTAGTGGTGGTGGTGGAGGGTTTGCTTAGCCTCCACGACCACGCCCACGTCCACCCTCCATCCTACACATCAATTCACAATTTAGTTTCATTGATGTACATGACATCCTAACTATACTTTTAATCTAAAGCATAAGACATGTGTAAAATTTATATCAATGATTTCATTCAACCTAGTCTTAACTCTCTAGTGGTAATCCATAACCTACAGTTCCCATGTAAGACCTAAAGTCGAAGCTCTGATACCAAAACTTGCAACGCCCCAAAATCCCCCTTGGACGACATTACAATCTAAAAACCATTCACAACATGAGAGCAGCTAATAACATCCATAATTAAAAATAATTTCATTCATCATCCACAATATCTACAACGTTGTCCAAAAGAATATGCAGAACTATAGCATCTACATTCCAAAAGAATCAAGTTTAAACTTTAAAACGGAATAACAAAAGATTAGTCTTTACATAATCTCAAAAGAATTTTCTAGTCTAGTACCTAGGAGAGTATCACTCTAGACGTCCACCTCGGAATTCACGAGCCCGTCTAGTGGAGCTTCCCAATGTATTGACTCCTCAACTCGGAGCTCCTCGTCTAGACCACAATCTGAAAAATATATAGTTTGTAGGGGGTGAGCACTAAGCTTTGTAGCAATATTCCTCCCAAACTCGAACAAGATTTAGAAAACGTATAAAGTAAGTCGGCCTCATTTTGCAAATATCACATATCAATTTTTGAAATAAAACCGGGACATTTCAACGGATCTCAAGTGTACGCAATAACAATAATTTAAATGAATAGGAAAAAAATGAATTTCCTAACAATAAACCATTTTCCACAAGTTCTTGTAGAGTCTCATACCTCCACAAACTCTTGTAAGAAACCAATTCCACACAATAACAATAATCATTCAATAGTGTTATCCCATATTCTCATGTGTGTTGGTTGCTTCCCATGAATCTACACAACGATTTTACCTCGTTCACCCAATCATAACCACACAAACCACTTTAGGAATGACGTATACTGTCTCCCACGACATTGACGAATCCTTTCCAGAAAAGGTATACCATCTCTACGCCTCGAACTTACGTGAACAATAGTGGTTGTTTTCATAAACAACAAACTACTACAAGTGTTAGGAAACTATCTCACCCCTACTGGGATAGACTAACCTTTAGCACTCTACGGTAGTGCTCGAATGCAATTCAAGTCTATTACAACAACCATACAAGAGAAGCAATTCCAACCAAATTCTCAAATCATAAGTAAATCATAAATCCCCAATTTCGTTGGCATTTTTCCAATAGAACAATTTAAGAAATTAAGGAAAAGATCAACACAAATACCATTTTATTACTCAACACAATGTACTAGGGTTTCAACATCAAGAATAAAGCAAGAATCAAGAGAAAAATTCATCTCTTTTGAAAACTAGGGTTTTATGACAAAAAAAGAAATCTCATGGTTATATAACTATAGCTATGTTTAAAACATGGTAATGATTGTAAAAATCTCAAGAAATCATGATTTCATAGCATATACATATGATTAAGAGTGGAAACATACATGCGCAAGCCTCAATGAACAAGAATGAAAGGAACCCCTACCTTGGTGTTCTTGAAAAACTAGGGTTTTGATCTTCTTAAAGTGGAAATCCTCTGTGATCTTGTGTTTTTCCCTCTCTTTCTTTCTCTCTAAGGTTTCCTAGGGTTAGAAGTGTTGAAATGGGGCTAAATGGGACGTCCTTAAGTATTTATAGTGGAAGGAAGACCGGTTGTTCGTGACTTAAAAATTCAGATTTTTGGAAAACCTTCTGGAAGGTTTTTCATCAACCTTCCGAAAGGTTTGTCTACTGGACAAACATTTCCATTAACCTTCCGGAAGGTTTGCCTACTGGACAAACTTTTCTATTATCTTTCCGGAAGAACATTACGTTAACCTTCCGGAAGGTTTTCATCGACCATCCGGAAGGTTTTGACCACTAGATTAGCATTTACCTTAATCTTTCAGAAGGTTTTGCTTGTTTTTCTATAAATCATTCATTCTTCATTTTCAACCCATTCCAATCCGTTCCACAACCATCCAAAATCATCCCAAACTTATACCACATACATTTGTACGTCAAACCTAGTTAGTACAAGTTCTATTACAACGATTTCATATATTTACAAGTTAAAACTAAGTTTTAACTATTATTTATTCGAATATTTTTCATATTAACATTTCAAAGGAAATAATTACTTGCTATAAAAACCTATATACATATATAAAGATAAAAGTGTGGGATTTACAATATCCAATACTTTCCATTGAATACCACCCATATACATTTAACATGAGAATACAAAGATTCAACTACAAGAATCCAATACATGCAACAAGTCCAAAATCAATTAATTTTAAAGAGAACAAGGTAATTAGTTTTAAATTCAAATTATTTTTAATATTTTTTTCCTTCAACATTCTTGAAGGGTTTTCGCCCACTATTAATTCAAGTAGTGGATGATCTGTCTTTGAAAAAAAAATTTAAAAATATTAAAGGAGATATCATCATATCACCCTATTTTCCTATACAAGAGCAAGAGTTTCAACCTCGAATTCTTTATGTTGTAGCTTTTCATACTAGCAAGCTCCCACCATTTTCTCTTCACAAGGAAGAAAATTCATATTTGAATTCTCTAGAGCGAAAAGCATGCCCCTGAATTTTGTCTCTAGTTTTAATTAAGCCCTTAAATTAAATTTTGTCTCAATTGAGTCTTTAAACTATTAATTAGTTTTAATTCACCCCCTGCGTCTGCTTTCATCCATGAAGACAAACAAAAAATGAAAAACATGCCTTTTCATGTGACTTGTTGAGGGACATATTATGATTATTTTATAACGTTGAGGGTGTAAAGTAAAAACATTAATCTTTGAGAGTAAAAATAAAAAATTTCAAAATTGTTTGGGATGTAAAGTGCCATTCACCCCAAATGTAACATTCGACAAAACTATCCCCTAGGCCTGAAAACGAATTGAGTTTAGATTGATTTGAATTCAAATTCAATTTCAAAAGTCTGACTCCAATCTGATTTGATAAATCGATGAATTTTTTTTTTTATGATTCATATTTGAATCTATTAACAATCCAAAATACGATTCGAATAACTTAATTAACTAATTTTCAATAAATTATAACTAAATTTGAACTAACTTTTTTTTAAATAATCAATTAATTTATTTAATATTTTATAAAAATATATAAATAATTTAAATCGGATCATAATTAAATTTAAATTTAAATTCATATATCGTATTCAAATTATCAAATAAAAATATTAATTTATATTCACCTATTTCTATTTGGATCGGAATGATAACCTAAGCATACGTGTCCCCTTTGTTTTTAAAAGACACGTGTTGCGGATTCATAGCCACACATACATGGCTCTCTATACTTTTTTCTGTGGGCCCACTTTTAACCAATGGCAGTCCTAATTACATGGTGCTGACCTATGCACACACGCCATAAATGGATAATATAAAATTATCCCCAAATATAACCTTACATATAAATTAGGCATCTTAATCGACCTGAATTTTACCAACTTCAGTCCGAGTTGTCAAGCTTAGTTTTTTTAAACAATTTTTAAAAAATTGTTCAAATTTTACTTGTTTAGAAAATGACCTAAGTTCAAACTTGGATCAAATTCGAATAATTCAACTATTTTATATATAGACGATTCGTATCTTTTAGATTTATTTTTTTAAATAATTTTAAAAAATTATTTAAAATTAATTCGTTCAATCACAAACTCTAAGTTAAAGTCGATTAGTTATTCTCAATTAATACTCTTACATATAATGAGTGCTAGTTGATTATCCATTTGGACAAGGAGCTACTTCATGATTTACGCAGCATGCCCAATAATTGAGGTCCCATTATTCTTTTTAATATTGAGCAATGTTATTAGACATAATTTGTTAATATAATTTAGGGATATAATGAGTTGTTACCAATGATATGATAATGAATTCATTTAATGCTATAATGAGACCTATTATTAAATACATTTCACTATTATTTCATTGATGATAACTCATTATGTCTTCAAATTATGTCCCAACAACATTAGTGTTCTATATATATACTAGTCATAATTTATACTTGAAGTCACGATAAAATATAAAATTCGAGCATCTAAAAAATCGATCTCACTATATTAAATTTTTTTAAAATATATTAATTATAAATTAATTAAATATTAAATAATTAAATATATGATAGAAATGAGTAGTATGATATTTTTAGAGAGAAAATATATAAATGATTAAATATGTGATAAAAATAAGTTATATAATTTGACGTTTGAATTTGACAAAGGGATGATAGGAAAGATAAATGATTGAAGATGATTTTCAAAAAATAAATATGACTGAAATAAAATTTAAACATATTCCTATTATATCGGGTAGAATGGAATGTCAGCGGACTTCGATTGCTACAGTCCTATAAATCTCCTCCAATAAACCTCTCATTAGTCTCAACAGTCAACACTAGAGAGAGATAGAAAACCAACAAGCAAAGAACAATGGCAGCAACTACAGTGCCCAGAAATCAAACTTGGTTCTCAAGGTCTGGAAGTATCGAAGCAAGGACTGGGTTGCATGAGCATGTCCTCCAACTACGGCCCTCCAAAGCCTGAAGAAGACATGATCAAACTCATCCACCACGCCATTAACACCGGCGTTACTTTTCTCGACACCTCCGATGTCTATGGTCCACATACCAACGAATTCCTTATTGGAAAGGTACATTCTAACTGTGCTAGCTTGATTTGAAATATATGGATTTACTACCCCAAATCTAGGACCCTTTTTTGGTTTTGAAAATTTTTCCCCAATTTTATGGACATCGTTTAAATGCTTGTATGTGTGTGTGTGTGTGTGTTCGCGCGTGCGTGTGCGAGTGTATGTGTCATTTCTGATTGCGGGTTGTTTGTAAATTTATGAATTCGTCACCCTAATTCTAGGCCCTCTGTTGGAAAAAATATTCAGCGCAAACGGTAATAGCAGCAGCCCAGCATGTCACATGGTATCAACAAAACAAATAAGGAAGCGTACCCCTAGACAAGCCAATAACTAGTCACTCTTCTCACCCTTCTACTCTAATAATCTTCATCACGTAAGTCAATAACTACCCAAGCGGGATTCACTTTGTTCATTTTATGGGTTGGTAATTCCATGTCACCAATGCCGACTATTGTCTTGAATATTTTCTGGTTCATGAAGTAATTCCCCCTTTTTATGGAGATGTGTGTTTAATTTCATTTCTAATAGTGCGCCGTTTGTATTTGCCGATCCACCCATTTTGAAAAACTCTTAGATTGATATGAAATTTATGAATGGAAAAAATGTCATTTGGACTTAATTTAGGAACCTAATCAATCAATTAGCTTGGTGGTAACATTAGAACTCACAACTACTTCAATGACGGCGATGGGATCAAGCCCATATTAGATCCCAAATTAATTCCCTAGCATTGCTATGTATGAATTTGTCATCCTAAATCTTGTATCCTTCTTGGGTTCCAATGAAATCCTTATGGAAAGGTACATATGGATATGGCGATGAGTCTATGGACCCCTTTCGAAAAACCTCTCAAATTGATATGAAATTTATGATTTCGTCACTCTAAATTTAGGACCCTTCTTGGGTTATAAATTAATTCTCACAATTTGATGGGGATTGTTCCTTCCTGAACTTCTTAAAATTTTCTATATACTTACATGTATATGTGTGTGTGTGCGTGTGTGTTATTTCTGATAGTAGGTTGTTTTTAGTTGGGCTTGTTTTTGATGAAGTTTGATGGGATGATCATGTAGGCTTTGAAGGGAGGGTTGAGAGAGAGAGTGCAAGTAGCTTCGAAGTTTGGGATCTCATCGCAGGATGGGAAAATGCAAGTGCGGGGAGATCCAGCGTACGTGAGGGCTGCATGTGAGGCTAGCTTGAAGCGGCTTGATATGGATTGTATTGATCTCTATTATGCTCATCGGATTGACACTCGGGTGCCCATTGAAGTCACGGTTTACCTTCTTTGACCCTCTTCTTTTGTGTGTGTGTCTGCGTTTATATTGTAGCTAATATGTCAAGGTTGGCATACGAGTTTATATTTTATCTAATTTTCTGAAGTACCCGGTTTGAGATTTTAATTGGTATTTCTTTGGAAGAAAATATGAAATAATTTTCAAAGAAGGGTAAGCAGGGAGTAAATAAGAAACTTATAGGAAGGGAAAGCACAGGATATTAAAATTGTTTCGGAGAGAAGAAACAATGTTAATTGCACTTTTTTCTCATGAAGTTTCCATGGATTGTTCTCGACTTCTCAATTGTGTCAAGTTGGTCCTTAAACCTTCTGATTTGAGATTATGGTCATCGATATGGTCCTCAGTATGGACTCTTAAAATTTGATTTGGAAAGTTTGAGGTTGAGATTGACACAATTGAAAGGTTGGGATTCAAGTGCATACCGGAATAAATTTCGACTGTGGAGAGCTTATCTACTTAAAAATTATAAAAAATCAGATCTCTAAAGAGGGAATAAAGTGAGACTTATTACAATTGCATGTTTCTTTTTTATGAGAATGTAAGTATTTGCCTCCATTTGTTGTTTTTCTTAGAATGGAAGTAGTTGCCTCTATTTATTGTAATACTTCTTTGCTTTCTTATCAGAACTATTTAAAAAATGTTGGAGACTTCTAACTTTGCGTTAATTGAATAATAATTCTCAGTAAGGGTCTTATATTGTCTCCAATTGTTTTCTCTTACAATTTTCCCCAATTTCACCAACATATACTAAAAATTGATTCTCTCTACAATTTTAAAATGTACTTTTCTTTTTCTTGCATTTGATAATCTCTTAAGAAGTGTATGAGTGACATCCAAAATCTACAATCTGCATGACTTGATTGCGAATGTGCATATGTGATATGGAAAACAAGTAAGGAGGCCATAGTAGAAAGTAGAAACTGAAGACATACTTGATATATTCTGTCTGTCCTAGTGGTTGGTAACATAGCTTGCCAAGGAAAATTGTCAAACCATTAAGCATTAACCATCAAAGTGTCGTTTAAGTCTGTTCTTCATTACGTGCAATCCTATTTTCTAGTTTTTTTTTACCATTTATGAAGTGTTAGACTACATTTCGTGATTACATATAAGGGGCATGGACACGGATACGACGCGACACATGTACACAGCATTTTTCAAAAATATGGTGTCTTGCTGTATGATGATTATCAAAGGCTCCAAGTGAAAAGATCCAAGTGTGTTTGAATTTCTCTTTATTTGCATCTCTTTGGAACCAACTTTTGGCTGAGCTTTCCCCTAAATTCTTTTGTGATATGTTTTGGAAGATGGGGGAATTGAAGAAACTGGTTGAAGAGGGTAAAGTAAAATATGTAGGTCTATCAGAGGCGAATGCATCAACAATCAGAAGGGCTCATGCTGTTCATCCATTAACAGCTGTGCAGATGGAGTGGTCCTTGTGGTCACGAGATCTTGAGGAAGAAATTGTTCCTGTGTGCAGGTGAGGTGTTGGTTGTGCCTTATAAATCTTTTAGGCAGTCTCAAGGAATTCTGAGTCTGATTTATTGCTTCTTACAATTCAGAGAACTTGGCATTGGGATTGTCCCATACAGTCCAATAGGCAGGGGATTCTTTGCAGCAGGTCCCAAAATGTTTGAGAACATGGCACAAAATGATTTCCGAAAGGTTTGTTCTGGTACCATCTGTAATTTATATTTTTATAATAAATCTGACTTGGGCAGTAAGCTTATGCTTAGTACTATCATTCTTTTCTATATTTGATACCCTAAATTTTCTGTCTTTCTGTGAACTTGTAGCTTATTATGCAGGAAACAATTTCATCATACCCTCAATTAATATAACTCATAATGTAATCAATAGATGGTTCTCCTTACCTCTCCATGTAAAACGCAATTTCCATGAGAAAACCTCCTTTGATGGTATCTCCAACCTCACATTGCTTGAGATGGAAAACAAGAAAAGAAATAAGCGCCAATCCTATGAACCACCTTTACTGCTACTGTAGCCTTGAACTGCTTATGAACCCATTCCCATACCCTATCCCTTTCTTCTTGTACTGGGTAATTCATTGACCCAACCGTATTCACACAGTGCCTCCTCAAAACTCCAATCTAGCTTTGCAATTCTGAATAAGAACTCCAAAATGGCAATGCCGAACTTTAGGTAATGTGTTTGGTGATACACCTAGATTGACTTTTGGGGATAACAGTCCATTTCTAAAAGCCCCTGTTGTTTGGTGGAAGGAACTACACTAATTCACCTCTGAGAAAGAAGTACATTTGCAAATTGCACTTTTCGATAAGCCAGCGGCCCTAGCTTTTCAAAACCTTCCAATTGTGCTTATGCATGGTGAATTTCTTGTAATTTTATCTATCTATTGTTGTTTTGAAGTCTTGGTGCTGAAAAGTGTGTTGTAATTTGTAGGGTATGCCAAGGTTTCAACCTGAGAATCTTGAGCATAATGTGCACGTATATGAGCAACTTAGTAAAATGGCATCAAGAAAAGGATGCACCCCGGCACAGCTAGCATTGGCCTGGATCCATCACCAAGGAGACGATGTGTCTCCCATACCCGGTACCACCAAATTGGAGAATTTCAAGCAGAATATTGGAGCTTTATCAGTAAAACTAACACCGGAAGAGATGTCCGAACTGGAATCCTATGCTTCAGCTGATGTGGTCAAGGGTGACAGGCATATGTACATGGGAAGTACTTGGATACATTCCGACACCCCACCTTTGTCCTCCTGGAAAGCTTGAATCCAGGCATGGCCTGCTGTTTTTTTTTTTTTTGGGAGGGGGAGGGGAGGGGAGAAAGGTACATGAAGCCATAATCTCAAGAAAATAAAATTTTCACAAAGTAAGGAGTATTATTGGACCAAAGATTCAATGGTATGACCTATTGTTCATTAATAAAACCTCCTACCTATGTCGAGAAATTGTTATATTTGTAGTGCAAGAGTATTTGAAAAGTTGACACGAGTTTTTGGACTCTGGCATGTTCCAAAAATTAAGGTATATTATAGTAGAATTTTGTTATGTGCTTTTTACTTCTACATATGCTTCCTGTTTATTTTGCAGTTTAGAGGCTTGGACTATGCACTACACCATTAGGTCATGCTTCTTGCCACTTAGAAACCAGTGAGGTTAGTGGCTGATCTAATGGTCATTGCCACCATTGTTAGTCTTTTAAGATTGGTGGTTCGAACCTTGTTCTGTCTCTCCCCGTAATAGTAATAGTAATATTAAGGATTAATTGTACTAGAAGTCTCTAAAATATGAGATTTGTTTCATTTTGATTCCCAATATTTCAATTGCATCATTTTGATCTCTGAAATATTGAATTTATTTCTAAACGGTCCCTTAAGCAAACAACGTACAGATTGCTAATAACTTTTTATTATAAACTTGTAACATAATACATAAATATAGACAAAAAATATAATTTTAANTAAATTTTCTGTCTTTCTGTGAACTTGTAGCTTATTATGCAGGAAACAATTTCATCATACCCTCAATTAATATAACTCATAATGTAATCAATAGATGGTTCTCCTTACCTCTCCATGTAAAACGCAATTTCCATGAGAAAACCTCCTTTGATGGTATCTCCAACCTCACATTGCTTGAGATGGAAAACAAGAAAAGAAATAAGCGCCAATCCTATGAACCACCTTTACTGCTACTGTAGCCTTGAACTGCTTATGAACCCATTCCCATACCCTATCCCTTTCTTCTTGTACTGGGTAATTCATTGACCCAACCGTATTCACACAGTGCCTCCTCAAAACTCCAATCTAGCTTTGCAATTCTGAATAAGAACTCCAAAATGGCAATGCCGAACTTTAGGTAATGTGTTTGGTGATACACCTAGATTGACTTTTGGGGATAACAGTCCATTTCTAAAAGCCCCTGTTGTTTGGTGGAAGGAACTACACTAATTCACCTCTGAGAAAGAAGTACATTTGCAAATTGCACTTTTCGATAAGCCAGCGGCCCTAGCTTTTCAAAACCTTCCAATTGTGCTTATGCATGGTGAATTTCTTGTAATTTTATCTATCTATTGTTGTTTTGAAGTCTTGGTGCTGAAAAGTGTGTTGTAATTTGTAGGGTATGCCAAGGTTTCAACCTGAGAATCTTGAGCATAATGTGCACGTATATGAGCAACTTAGTAAAATGGCATCAAGAAAAGGATGCACCCCGGCACAGCTAGCATTGGCCTGGATCCATCACCAAGGAGACGATGTGTCTCCCATACCCGGTACCACCAAATTGGAGAATTTCAAGCAGAATATTGGAGCTTTATCAGTAAAACTAACACCGGAAGAGATGTCCGAACTGGAATCCTATGCTTCAGCTGATGTGGTCAAGGGTGACAGGCATATGTACATGGGAAGTACTTGGATACATTCCGACACCCCACCTTTGTCCTCCTGGAAAGCTTGAATCCAGGCATGGCCTGCTGTTTTTTTTTTTTTTGGGAGGGGGAGGGGAGGGGAGAAAGGTACATGAAGCCATAATCTCAAGAAAATAAAATTTTCACAAAGTAAGGAGTATTATTGGACCAAAGATTCATTGGTATGACCTATTGTTCATTAATAAAACCTCCTACCTATGTCGAGAAATTGTTATATTTGTAGTGCAAGAGTATTTGAAAAGTTGACACGAGTTTCTGGACTCTGGCATGTTCCAAAAATTAAGGTATATTATAGTAGAATTTTGTTATGTGCTTTTTACTTCTACATATGCTTCCTGTTTATTTTGCAGTTTAGAGGCTTGGACTATGCACTACACCATTAGGTCATGCTTCTTGCCACTTAGAAACCAGTGAGGTTAGTGGCTGATCTAATGGTCATTGCCACCATTGTTAGTCTTTTAAGATTGGTGGTTCGAACCTTGTTCTGTCTCTCCCCGTAATAGTAATAGTAATATTAAGGATTAATTGTACTAGAAGTCTCTAAAATATGAGATTTGTTTCATTTTGATTCCCAATATTTCAATTGCATCATTTTGATCTCTGAAATATTGAATTTATTTCTAAACGGTCCCTTAAGCAAACAACGTACAGATTGCTAATAACTTTTTATTATAAACTTGTAACATAATACATAAATATAGACAAAAAATATAATTTTAATAGTTCTTAAATAAAATTTAAGTAACTCTTGACAAAAAAATGTGTAATATGTATAATTTTTGACCAAAATTTAAATAACTTATAATCAAAATTGTGTAATTTAAATAACTATTTAACAAAATTTGAGTAACAATTTAGTAAAAAATTATCTAAATAATTTATTTGTCCATATTTAAGTATTACGTGACAAGTTTATGACAAAAAATTATTAGTAATCTGACCGTTGTCTGCTTAAGAGACCATATAGAAATATTTAATATTTCAGAGACCAAAATGATACAATTGAAACATTGAGGACTAAAATGAGACAAACTTCATACTTTGGGACCTTCAGTGCAATTAACCCTAATATTAAATAAGCCATGGTTAGTATTTATAATTGAAATAACAAGAGTACATTTATAAACTAGAGAGTTATGCATTGATTAATAGGATAAAATAAATAAAGAATTAATTACTATTATCACTATCAATTAGATTAACATTAATTGTTTAATCTCATCATACTATACCCGAATCAAAGACTTTTGATATCCTAATCTTTTCTGGCAATCTACACCCCAAAATTTGGACCAAGTTAGAGTCAGTACAATACACACATTCGGATTCTGTCGTACAAAACCTTGGTACCTAAATTGCCTGTATAGAAGTGATGAGAGTCGGAACCTTATATAGGAATCTAGCGGTATGATGGATTTCAAATAATAATTTGTAAGTCGTTCACAACATCATCAAACATGTAATTTTGATCTGAATCTCCAAGACAGAAGGGAGGAAGCTTTGAGTGATCGGGCCACCGGGATGAAAATGACCTGTTATACACTGCTAGCTCCTTCCAATTGTGAGAAAGCGCTGCTATTGTCCCCCCAGTCATTCACTGCAAATAAAAACAGGCCAGTACAGGCACAACCTAGATTTTAGCTCTTAAAAAAAATGGATCCATTTAGTTGTAATTAGAAAAGATGTAATGGCTGAAATGTTCTGAACAGTGATGAAATATGAATTAAGTATCAATCTATGGGACTTTACAAACAAAATAATCAAAGTACGACACTTTTAAACTTATTTCTCAAACTATGACACTTTTTTGAAAGTATGGCTAACAGCAGCCCTACTTTTGTTAGAAAGCATGGTCTTTAATAATGTTTTCCCAACAATCAAGATTTTTAATAAATGCGTTTATACCAGTAAACAGTATTGTTAATACCCCATTTTCTAAAGAAAGTGTGATGCTTNAGTAACTCTTGACAAAAAAATGTGTAATATGTATAATTTTTGACCAAAATTTAAATAACTTATAATCAAAATTGTGTAATTTAAATAACTATTTAACAAAATTTGAGTAACAATTTAGTAAAAAATTATCTAAATAATTTATTTGTCCATATTTAAGTATTACGTGACAAGTTTATGACAAAAAATTATTAGTAATCTGACCGTTGTCTGCTTAAGAGACCATATAGAAATATTTAATATTTCAGAGACCAAAATGATACAATTGAAACATTGAGGACTAAAATGAGACAAACTTCATACTTTGGGACCTTCAGTGCAATTAACCCTAATATTAAATAAGCCATGGTTAGTATTTATAATTGAAATAACAAGAGTACATTTATAAACTAGAGAGTTATGCATTGATTAATAGGATAAAATAAATAAAGAATTAATTACTATTATCACTATCAATTAGATTAACATTAATTGTTTAATCTCATCATACTATACCCGAATCAAAGACTTTTGATATCCTAATCTTTTCTGGCAATCTACACCCCAAAATTTGGACCAAGTTAGAGTCAGTACAATACACACATTCGGATTCTGTCGTACAAAACCTTGGTACCTAAATTGCCTGTATAGAAGNCTAGTCTTTTAAGATTGGTGGTTCGAACCTTGTTGTGTCTCTCCCTGTAATAGTAATAGTAATATTAAGGATTAATCGTATTAGAGGTCCCCAAAATATGAGATTTGTTTCATTTTGATTCCCAATATTTCAATTGCATCATTTTGATCTCTGAAATATTGAATATATTTCTAAACGGTCCCTTAAGCAAACAACGTACAGATTGCTAATAATTTTTTATTATAAACTTGTAACATAATACATAAATATAGACAAAAAATATAATTTTAATAGTTCTTAAATAAAATTTAGGTAGCTCTTGACAAAAAAATGTGTAATATGTGTAATTTTTGACCAAAATTTAAATAACTTATGATCAAAATTGTGTAATTTAAATAACTATTTAACAAAATTTGAGTAACAATTTAGTCAAAAATTATCTAAATAATTTATTTGTCCATACTTAAATATTATGTGACAAGTTTATGACAAAAAATTGTTAGTAATCTGACCGTTGTCTGCTTAAGAGACCATATAGAAACATATTTAATATTTCAAGGACCAAAATGATGCAATTGAAACATTGAGGACTAAAATGAGACAAACTCCATACTTTGGATCCTTTAGTGCAATTAACCCTAATATTAAATAAGCCATGGTTAGTATTTATAATTGAAATAACAAGAGTACATTTATAAACTAGAGAGTTATGCATTGATTAATAGGATAAAATAAATAAAGAATTAATTACTATTATCACTATAAATTAGATTAACATTAATTGTTTAATCTCATCATACTATACCCGAATCAAAGACTTTTGATATCCTAATCTTTTCTGGCAATCTACACCCCAAAATTTGGACCAAGTTAGAGTCAGTACAATACACACATTCGGATTCTGTCGTACAAAACCTTGGTACCTAAATTGCCTGTATAGAAGTGATGAGAGTCGGAACCTTATATAGGAATCTAGCGGTATGATGGATTTCAAATAATAATTTGTAAGTCGTTCACAACATCATCAAACATGTAATTTTGATCTGAATCTCCAAGACAGAAGGGAGGAAGCTTTGAGTGATCGGGCCACCGGGATGAAAATGACCTGTTATACACTGCTAGCTCCTTCCAATTGTGAGAAAGCGCTGCTATTGTCCCCCCAGTCATTCACTGCAAGTAAAAACAGGTCAGTACAGGCACAACCTAGATTTTAGCTTTTAAAAAAAATGGATCCATTTAGTTGTAATTAGAAAAGATGTAATGGCTGAAATGTTCTGAACAGTGATGAAATATGAATTAAGTATCAATCTATGGGACTTTACAAACAAAATAATCAAAGTACGACACTTTTAAACTTATTTCTCAAACTATGACACTTTTTTGAAAGTATGGCTAACAGCAGCCCTACTTTTGTTAGAAAGCATGGTCTTTAATAATGTTTTCCCAACAATCAAGATTTTTAATAAATGCGTTTATACCAGTAAACAGTATTGTTAATACCCCATTTTCTAAAGAAAGTGTGATGCTTTAAACCAGCAGAAGGTATGATGTCCCAGTCTTTTAGACAATATAATATCAAAGTACTNTGTCCCCCCAGTCATTCACTGCAAATAAAAACAGGCCAGTACAGGCACAACCTAGATTTTAGCTCTTAAAAAAAATGGATCCATTTAGTTGTAATTAGAAAAGATGTAATGGCTGAAATGTTCTGAACAGTGATGAAATATGAATTAAGTATCAATCTATGGGACTTTACAAACAAAATAATCAAAGTACGACACTTTTAAACTTATTTCTCAAACTATGACACTTTTTTTAAAGTATGGCTAACAGCAGCCCTACTTTTGTTAGAAAGCATGGTCTTTAATAATGTTTTCCCAACAATCAAGATTTTTAATAAATGCGTTTATACCAGTAAACAGTATTGTTAATACCCCATTTTCTAAAGAAAGTGTGATGCTTTAAACCAGCAGAAGGTATGATGTCCCAGTCTTTTAGACAATATAATATCAAAGTACTTAGATCAATGTTTTCCTTAGAATTGCTATAGTTAGGCAATCTCCACTCCTCACTCAAAATCAAACTCAAATTTAAATTTGGGTAAAAAAAGCCCAAAAACTCTCCCCAACCTTTGACTCAAACTTATACCAAAACAAAGGAAACTCATTTCTTGACTCAAATTGAGGGAGAACCAAATCTTTTACTTAAAAAAAGCCCTCCTCCATCCCTGTTCTCTCTCTCCCATCCCTGTTCTCACCCACCAACCACCGTTTGCCACAACCCACCAAGCCCACTGCCTCTCTATCTCTCACTCTTGCTTTAAATCCATCCACCCACTCACCCGACCCCCAATGCCTCTCTGGATTTGGGGCTTGAAGCCGATTTCAACTTCAAGCGGTGCTCTACAAGATCTGATAAGCTACTGCCATCTTTTTTTTTTNACTTAAAAAAAGCCCTCCTCCATCCCTGTTCTCTCTCTCCCATCCCTGTTCTCACCCACCAACCACCGTTTGCCACAACCCACCAAGCCCACTGCCTCGCTATCTCTCACTCTTGCTTTAAATCCATCCACCCACTCACCCGACCCCCAATGCCTCTCTGGATTTGGGGCTTGAAGCCGATTTCAACTTCAAGCGGTGCTCTACAAGATCTGATAAGCTACTGCCATCTTTTTTTTTCACTTTTTTTTCCCTTTCTAACAGAAGATAAGAGTTTTAATCCATTCANGGTGCTCTACAAGATCTGA